CGAAATCATTGTTGTTAGTAACTACGATCGTCGTCGTCGTACCATTAGGCGATCATCAGTATATTATATAATCATTTCTTTTTCCTTCTATTTCGTACATAAAATCTTGATGTAGATATGTATTATGGTTTCGTTCTACCGAACCAACAAACTTGGTATTGAATGGAGATAGTAAAACAAACAACCCTTTACCCGAAATATTTATAATTATTTCATACATTTTATAATTGTGATTATTCTATTTATTTATAATTCATTTATTTAGTATTCTATTCGTAATCTTCTCGGCAATGTCGATTAATCGTGTAGAAAAATGTACAATTTGTTTTATGGCTGTTGATGGTACTAATGGATATTTACGTCACATTCGACAGGTACATGGGAATGATCGTCAATTTTGTACACATTGCCCATTATGTGATTCAAAATTCATTTTTACTTATTTAAAATCATTTATATATCATATACGGAAACATATTTCGTATTCTTCACCTGATAAAGAAGTTTTACCATCTTTGTTACCTAGTCATGATGAAATGAATCTCGAAATTATTAATGAAAATGAAGAACAAAAATCATCGCATGAGTATGAACAACATGATCCATTAGTCGAAATTAAGAAATATTATATTAAGATGCTTTTAAAACTTCGTGAAGGTCATGTTCTTCCTGGTAATGTAATGAAGACCGTGGCATTATCTCTTACTTGCTTAATACAGACTTTTCATATTATTTGTTATCTAAATTTAACATAGATGCTGATAATCCTACATCATCCAATTTTAATGATGATATTGAAAAAACTCTATTTGAAATATCAAGAAATGAAGAGTCATTCATTTCTTCATGTCAGTTATATTTTAAATTTGTTAAACCAAAGGAAATACAATTACGAAATGGCAATAAAGCTTATTATATTTCGATACGTGATGTCTTGATGAATTTATTTGAAAAAAAAGATTTTTATGAATGTATTAAAGAAGAAAAAAAATACATATCTCAATTTAATGGACAAGATATTCTTTATCATTACCGAAATTCAGAAATAGGTCAACAACACCACGTGCTGACCAAAAAAGATAATTGCATATTGTTACAGTTGTATTCAGACGATTTAGGTGTTGTTAATCCATTGATGGGAAAGAATGCAACTCATAAATTGACAACATTTTATTTCTCTATTGATGATTTACCAGCACGCCATAGTTCTTCTGTAAATGCTGTGTACTTATTATTATTATATTATAGAAAAGATTTTGAAGATGAAAATAATCGTCAAGTGATATTTCGTCAATTAAATCAAGATTTAAAAAGTTTAGAAAATGATGGTCTTGTATTACCTGATGATATAATTCCAACTTATTTTACAATCAGTACACTATGTGCTGATAATCTAGCAGGTTGTTTTTTTATTAAATACTTGATAAAAAGAAAAGAAATAATCGAAAATATGAGTTTTTATTTATTGACTATATTTTTAAAGTATACTACATATGATAATATCTTGATAGGGTTTTTATTTTTTATTATACTAACAGGCATATTGTTCAATACTCACCTATTTATAATCATTCTTCTGTCTGTCTTTATTTTTTTTTGTTGTTGATTTAGCTCATGAACTCAGTGGATTTACATGTGCATTCAATTCTGGTCATTGTTGTCGTTATTGCTTTACACACCACAAAGACATGAAACGTATTTACAAAGAATCTCAGACATTAATTCGTACCGCAGCATCACATGATTTACAAGTAAAGCAAATTCAAAACGTGCCAGCTGATAAATCTATATATGGTATCAATGAAAAATCCGTTTTATCAAATTTATCATCATTTCATCCAATTACCAGTTTGCCTCCTGATATTATGCATGATATTCTTGAAGGAATTATGCCAAAACTCACCAGCTGTTTATTACATACAGTTGTATCTAATCGTTTATGTTCTGCTTCAAAAATTTGTCAATTAATAAATAAATTTACTTACGGAACAAATGATAGGCGAAATCATCCACCAGTATTGAAGGAAAAAGATATTTTTGATAAAAGAATTCCAGGTAAGCGTAAAATTTTGTAATCGAACGTTTGAATAATATCTAACGTGATTATCATAAAAGAAGTAAGTATTATTTGTAGAATTAAGTACTATATTGAAGTGCAATACGGATAATAATGCTACATATTGTTTTAAATTTATTCATTTAGGTAAAGCAATGGAAAAATATTGTTTATTTTTAAATTTACCATTTATGTTGATCGGTTTTATTGACAAAGTTCCTTACTGGTTTTTGTATACATTACTACGACAAATATGGGATATATTATATAGTGATTATCCGAGAAGATCTTGGTTATCAACTCTTGAAGAATTAATTGAGGAATTTCTACAATTATTTCAAAATATTTTTCCGGAACAATTCATTCCAAAATTTCACTTTTTACTTCATGCTGCACGTAACATCTCTAAATATGGTCCATTAAAGCGACAAATGAATTTACGTTACGAAGCTAAGCATCATTTGTTAAAACAAATTGCAAATCGATGTAATAATTTCATTAATTTACCTTGCACTGTATCTAGACGTATACAATTACGTCAATGTTATGAGCTAATGGATGAAAATATGTTCAAATGAATGGTATTAGTGGAAAACTTCATAAACGTCAAACAACAAGCTTTAAACAAACAATACAAAATGCATTACTTGATGATAATCTTTTTACTGACAAAAAATTTATTCAATATGTTAAATGGGTACAAATAGATAATGTCAAATACAAGATTGGTGATTTTTTTGTGTTCTATTTAGTGGACGGTGAAGAAATTCCATTGTTTGTTGAAATAAAATATATTATTTATCTTGAAGAAGAATGGTGTTTTATTGTTCATTGTTATGATACAGTTACATTTAAAGAAAATTTGTGGTGCTATGAAATTAAACCGTCAGCTGTTGACTTGGTATTAAATAAAAATGAATTTTTAACACATAAAGCAGAATACTGTTATCGTATAAATAATTTATATTTCATTCGTGTTCCTTATCGTTTAACTCTTGTTGAATAATTTTTTTTGGTATACCTTTATGTTAAAAAATTTATTTAACATATTTATATATTTTCGATATTTCTTTCTTTATTGCACGCTTTAGAAAAATTAAATGTTTGATATTTTCTTGTTTTTTTTTCTACTCTACTTTAGATTAATAATCTATGGATTGGACTATTAAAGATGTCTCTACTTGGCTGATCGAGAATGGTTTTAATAAATTCGTTGATAAATTTATAGGTATCGATAAATAACTTATTATGCAGTAATTTGATCTTTTTTTTAATCTACTTTAGAAGAAGAAATTGAAGGTCTATCATTATTATATTTAAGTTCATCATCAATTGAAGAATTATTATCGGTCAAAACAGAAGATAATATCGTTAAAAAACCAACTATTGGCATTAAAACAATCTTCGAAAAAAAATTGGACAAATTGAAAGATAGTGTTTCTTTAAATAATAAGCAAGTTTACTTACTTCATTTTAATCGTTCGCTATATCTTTTTTCTATTTAAGTTGAGTAATATCATTGGATGAAAAACAATCTGATTTATTTATTCAACAATTACAATCTAATGTATCAAATCACTTTTTCTTTTTTTTTTTTTTTTTTTTATTTAAGCAGTTAAGGGATCTGTGCCTTAATAGGCCTAACAGTACAAAAAGAAGTTCGCCTTGATATGTCAGTGTGTAAAAAAAAAAAAAAAAAGAATGAAAGAAGAAAAAAAGAGAAAAAGAGAAAAAGAAAAAAAGAAAAAAAAATAGATCAATGAACAACAGCAGGATGGCAGGAAGCAGAAAGGAAGAGAACGAAGAGATGATAATAACAATAATAAAAGAAAGGGAGAGTGAGAAGAGACACAACAAGAAGTAAACGTAAGAAAACATAGGAAAAAGAGAACAATATATAAAAATATAAAAGAGAACCACAGTACCTAAACAATAGCAACTAGATAAACACGAGCAGAAGAGAGAGCAGTCCGAGTGAACAACAAGAGTAGATACAGATCAACAACGACGTGTTTTAATCATAATCGTAGTATGAGTAGTGAGGGAAATGGGATAAACCAAGTCCACCTGCAACTTCAAAAGTTTTCTGGGAATTCTTCTAACAGATCAATATCTTCTTGTGGGAACTGTATTATTGTATTTGTTAATGGATTCTGATCCAACCATTCCCAACATTCCTCGAGAACGGTTGTATGCTGAATAAACCGTTTGGATCTCCTCAACCATTTAATTCTGTTTTTACCGCTTAACCACCCAGACCTTTGTAGGTTAAGGAACAGTTGTTCTGTTAATAATTCACCATCTTTCGTATTCACTAGGGCTTTAGTGTAATTTTGCCAATATTTAGTACACCTATTGCTAAGAGGAATTTCATTGTAGGCAAACTGAAAAAAATGGTCTGACCATTGCTGACCGTGTAATACCCGTTTCAGACAAGTGGTATAGAAATGATCTATGTAATTACGTTGACATTCTGTGAAAAGTGGGAACACCGCAAACATCCAAGTGAATAGAGGGAGGACGAAGCATGAGAAGAGCACTCTGCGAAATTCAGATGATGAGGTTCCAAAGATTCGACTGGCGTTTAACATTCCTACTCTTTGTCGAATTTTCAAAAGTGTTTTATTGATCATAAAGGACCACCCCAGCTTAGGGCTAATCCAATAGCCGAGATATTTAAACGAGGTGCACCAACTAATGTGCTGCCCACCACAGGTCAGTTGAACCGAGGTCCCTCCTGTACCCCCCAAGCTCTAGCTGACCATAAAGCTTCGGTTTTTTCGTAGTTTATTGGCTGAACCGCGAGCAAGAAGTAATACTCAAGATTATCAAAGAAGGCTTTTAGCCTTTTCTCTAAATCAAGGCATTGATCAAGATATTTAACTCCAATTCTTCCGGCCATCGTAGCTGCTAAGTCATCGGCAAAGTAAAAAGAGGCGCATTTTTGCAGGAAGTTATCCATATCAGCATGGTATGTGATAAATACCGAAGGTGTTAGACTTGACCCTTGTGGACCACCTCTTTCTATTGGGAAACATTGTGATCTAACTCCTTGGATCTCTACATACCCTCTCCTATTTATTAACCATGCTTTAATCCATTCCACATACGCTCTGGGTATACCCATACGATTAAATTTGCCCACACATCCCTCGATCCACAGTTGATCGAATGCCTGTTTATAATCTACAAAAACTGTTACAACAGGAGAGCTGTTGGCCATCATAGAGGAGATTTGTTCAATTAGAAGAAGAACCCTGGTTTGTAATCTGAAATTAGATCTGAATCCTGATTGTGTATCAGGTAGGATACCTCGTTTTTCTAGAACTTTATGAAATCTGATTAGAAAGAGCCTTTCAATAACTTTGAGGAAGACATCCAGAAGTGATATAGGTCTAGTATTGGACACCCTACAAATGGACTCCTTCTTGGCTAATAAAATAATTCGAACATCTTTCCATGCGGAAGGTATAAAGAAAGATCGAAAAGATTTGTTGAATAAATCTACAAACAACATCCAATACTGCGGAGGTAAAAATTTGAAAAGAAATGTCGATAATCCATGTGCATCTAGTGAAAGCTTCTTTTCTCTACTCTTGACCACCTTAATAACTTCTTCAAAGGTTACGGGTGGGATTAATTCGTTATCATTTTCCCAAGTGAGAGGAGGTGCATCAACATAAGGATGAGGACGGACTACTGTAGGCGCTGAGTAGAGTTGTTTATAGTGCTTAGCAGCTATATCAACCATTCTTGAACTATCTCTAATGATTTCTCCGTTATCCTGTATAAAGGCATGAAGTGATGCATTGGCAGGTTTGAACGGCCGCTTAACCTTTGACCAGAAAGGTGCAGAGATTTGAGCTGGTGCAAATCGTGTTGCTATGCTTTTCCTTAGTTGGTCGGATCTGAATGCTTGAATTTCATTTCTCAAGGAGACTCGTAGGTGCTTCGACAATCTTCTTAATTCTAGATCACCGGTTCTTTTAGCGCGAAAGGAAATTGTACGAGTCTGGTATAGCCTGGCTCGAATAATACGTGGTAATGCTAATCGATATTTTTTAAGGGAGAAGTAGACTGTGCACCTAGCAATTAGCAGCGAAAGAAATGAAGTGTAATCACTGTAAACCTCATCAATGTTGCCTTTGGACCACACTTCTTGCCAGTACGTAAAAACATAGGACAGAAAAAGAGAGAGTACATTCCAATGAACGTTTGTCCCCACGGCTAATTCATTCCTGCCACAAACTAGTGTGCTTAAAATAGGCTTGTGGTCGCTAGTTGTTCCTTCTTCGTATGCTTGAATGCTTATAGGAACACCTCTCGATAGAGCATAATCAATAGTACGGTTTGAGTTGGATCTGAGTGATGTGGAGGAGTCTGGAATACATGGGGATAACGAGCAGCTATCTGCCCATTCTACCAACATTTCGCTTGGTGGGGTGGCATTGTTCAAGTCGACATTAAAATCTCCTAGTAATATACATTTTGAGTTGATGAGAGGAGTAAGATCTTTCCAGTTCCATGATTTACTTGCTGGTGCATACATGCCTATAAGTCTAATTTTTTCTTCAAGTTCGATGTCTATAACACAAATGTTTGGTAAATTACTTTCTATTCTTTTAACTGGGAGGGTTTTTCTAGCCATAACAGTTACTCCACCGAAACTATTCTCACCTTTCTGGTAAAAGACCGAGTGATCAGGGAAGAGCTTTTCCATCCAGGGAAGATCTATTGTACCTGTTTCAACTAGTATAATGACATCCATCTTAAATGTATTATTCAAAAGGACTACTTCATTCCAACGATGATTAAAACCGCGTACGTTGAATGACAGACAATGTAATGAAGAGAAATAAGAACAAGTGTCGGTGTATACATATTTTTTCCACAAGTTTAAACAAGAAGAAAGAAGAGTACTACTTTCCCACTCCATCAAAATATTATTAAACATACATGAGTCAAAGGGGGAAAGATTATTTTGAGACAGGCTCAAAAAGAAAGAACGATCGGCAAGTTTGGGGGAGGGAGTACATGAAAAAAAAGGGACTGCATCTGGAGAAAGTACCATTACAGTTTGAGTCTTTTGTCTAAATATGCTTTAATCTCGTTTTTCCACAAACCACTTTTAGAATTAAAATCCGCATTTAGAGTCCTACCATCTTTAATATTAAGTTCAGTTAATACCAAGAGGATGTCGTCCAATACTGGGAGAAATATTTTCTTGATGACTTGCATTTGATGACGAAGTTCACCTTCAACACGTACATTACCACGTTGTAGTGCTTTAATTTCATTTTCTTTTTCTAAGTCATACTTCTTCTTGTTGTCCATCCATTCTTCAATTGCTTCAGTACGTTTTGTTAAATTACCAATTACGTGTTCGAAGTGGTTGATTGAGTTGAGTATTCGATCTAATTTTATCATAATTCCATTTTGAGCATTTAATGGCATATAATGTTCATCGATTGACTGTTTTCTTATTTGTGGTGGCGGTAATGGTGGAAATTCTGTTGTTGAATCAAGTTGTCTATTGAATAACGAATTTGATTTTGATGATAATGATAAAATGAACCAGTTAAATCTGCTCGAAATTGTTTAATTACCTTACATTTTAAATCATTAGAGTAATGTGCACCACCACAATGTAGACATTTGACCACACCTTGACATTGATGATTAACGAGATCTTTAACCTGTTCAGAACAGACTTTACATGTTGTATTAGTTTGTTTGCATTGTCTCCTGAAGTGCCCCAATCCCATACAGTTGGAGCAAATCAGTATAGATGCTTGTGGTAAATATTCTCTGACCTCATACTTCAAATAATTGATCATCATATAACCTTTAGCTAAAATTTCATCTCGTACTTTGGACGAATTAAATTCTAATTTAACAAATTTTGTATCAGATTGATTTTTGTTTTTTAATCGAACCACTTTAACAATATTGTCATAACTTGTTTTCAAGTCCTTTTCAAATTCTAACATGTTTGTTCTATAACTAACATTTGAGATAATGACTAAGAGCTGTGGAGGAATGACTGGTTGACGTTCAATTTTGAATGCTACACCACCAAAAGCTTCCGGCCATTTTATATCAGTTAAAAGAAAAGAAAATGATAAACTGTTTTTCACAAATATTAATAAATTACATTCGTTGGCGTTGCATCGATTTGATGATATACGAAAACCGGCAAGATCAAGATCAAATGAATAATTTTCTTTGCAATGATTTATCAATTCGTTGATGATCATCTTATCATTAATTTTTGAAGATTTAAATAATAATATAAAAGGAGGATATGGATAACGGGATTGAGCAAAACGTTTTGCTTCTTCAGTAATTGATTTCGATGCATTAATTGATGTTGATTTTATTGTATGTAGTTGTGGACAATAAACATTAATATCACGTACTTGCTGACATATTGGTGATTCATCATAATTATGTTCCATTGGTTCATCTGTAGTACTTTGTTTTCTTTTCTTGTTTAATCGATTCGTTGTGGACGTATTTACTTCTATATCGCTTGGTGAGTCATTCGGATTGTTGTATTCCATTAACGGACGTATATTGTTGTTGTTGATCCTGTTTAATGGATTCATTTGTTGATGATAATCAGAGTGTTGATGTTTTTCGTTTACTTCACGATGATAATGTTGGTTCTTGTTCATCATGTAATTCAAATCGAATGTTTCATATTGTAAATTATCATGTTGATGACGTTGTTGTTGTTGTGGAGTGCCAGGTAAAAGACGAGGACGGGGTGAAGGGTCTCTGCTAGGACGCATGGTGGGTTCACCACCTCGCACTAGCTGATTATTTCCTTGTTAAAGATTATGAAAGAGAAGAAAAAATTGTTTAGATAAAAAAAAAGAGAATTTGTCGAGCTGGTGTATAAGTTTATACGTTCTATGTACGATAAAGAATCGAATAAGATATATACGACTGATATCGACAAGCGAATATGCACGAATGACAAGCGAATATGCACGAATGATCAAATCACTTTTTATTTCTCAACGATCTCAATATTGATAATGAACAGCACCAACTACAAGTATCTTCATCGACTTCACCTACATCAAATCAATCTCTTAGTCAATCTTCATCAAGTATTAATTCTGTACAAATTACTGATGCAACACCTAATGAAACAATTCATGATCAAGTATCAAATAATTCTTTAACAAATCCAAAATCATCTCAATCAAGAAAAAGTTTTCCATTAAATTATATACTTCCAAAATTTGATAAAGCTTTTGAAGAAGCTGCCAATGATCCATTACCATCTGATTTTGGAACAAGATGCAGAAAGAGACAACAATTAATAAAAACTATTCATGATGATGTAGTCAACACTTATGGAATTGATTTTTATCCAACATCGTTTGAATTTGATCGAATGATAGTCAGTGTTAAAAACAAGTATCCAGCACTTTGTAAAATATTTGGTGAAGATATGGTATGTTTAGTAGGAAATCAGGTATTTTTTTCATCTTTAATTAATTTTTATTTCTCATTCAGAGTTTACTAACATCAGCATTAAAACAACAATTCTCTCGTGATCGACAAGCATCTATTTGTGTATCTGAAATATTAATGAAAAAACGTCAATCATATGGTCATCAAATGGGAGGAAGAAAATTAAAATTTGTGAAGGTTGATTTGGTTGCTCGTCAAGTAAGAATGAAACTAATTTTTTTCTTTAAAAATTTTCTCTTTTTAGGAATATTTGCTTGAAGAAAAAGAACAATCAAACGAACTCTTAATGCAATTGTGTCAACAAGCAGAATCAATGCGTGTATTAATTAATACAACAAATTATGATTATGGTCACATTAAAAGTAAAATGGATTTAACATATGCACATCGTCAGCGTCTTGTTCAAGAGATGAAACCAATAAAAGAAATCATTGAATTATATCCAGCTTTATCAATTACTGACTTTGTAGGTATCGCAAAGCGTTCTTTTCTGTTTTACGTAATGACTGATTAAAATTTTTTTGAATGTATGTTTTAATATTATGAATTTCTTCTTTTTATTTTCTATAATAGTTTATTCGTGAAATCAATGTTCATTCTGATCCATTTTATGGTGATATTGTTCAAGCATTAAAATCAAGTTGTACAAAATTGGTCAAGCATTTGGATCATCCACAAAAAGAAAATCTCATTGATGGTAATATATTTTCTTTTTCTTTTTATATTAACTTTTTGTTTTTTAGAAGAACAACCACTATTCATATTGGAACACATGATCATGAAACGTTACAAGCACTCAAAGAAGTTTTTATTAAGTCATGTGAGTATTTTCATCAACTATATGAATTATTGAATGATCTCCATCGTTTAATTTTTTCATTATTTATTTCAGGAAGCGATTGATGCTTATCCAATGATACAAATACAAACAGTTCAAAATATTAAAAATTATTCCATTGTTATTGAATACAACTCAATTATTACGACGAATTCACAAGCTGAAGCAATTGCTGTTTTAATTGGATCTTACGAAATATTTAATGTAGAATATCCACCAAAGATACGAGCAACATTAGAAGTCCTCAATGGTTTATCATTTAAAAAACGATCATTTTCGTTGTCATTAGCTGAAAAAGATTTTTAAATGAATATAAATTGAACAATGGTTCACTGCGATGATACATTTCTTTATGTGTGATTGCATCTCATGTAAGATTTTGCATTGTTTTTTAATTCTATTTAATGTAATTTTTGTGTATTTATTTTTAGATCGTTTGAACATTAACTTACTTATATTTTTCCACCATTAGGATTTTCCAACAGTTTGTTTTTTTATTGGCTTGTCATTTTTTTATTTGTTTTTGCATTATATATTTGAACTATTTTTGTATTCGCATCGTGACATCTTTTTTTGCATTATTTAATTCAAACGTAAAATTAAATAAATAAATGAAGAATTTCATATGAGGTGAAAATGAAAATAAAAAAGTGGATTAAATATTCTAGAAAATGTTCAAATTGCTAAATAAAATGCGAATTTCTAGAAAAGCCCATATAAATTCACATTCAATTTTCCAACTAGAAAATCGAATTTGTTATTTCAATCTTCTGGAGTATCAGATTTTCAAAAAAGTAGAAATTCGTCTGTGAATTCATATGGACTTTTCTAGAATATCTTCTACTATACTCTATAAATAATTTTCTAGTTTACAGTGTAAAAACTACGGTTAACATGGTTAAAGCCCAAAGATGACCTTTATCCGTCCATCTTCTTTGTGATAGTTAATCAAATTCATGTCAGATTCTTTACGTCATTGCAAACAGTCTCAAAAGAAATAATCGAAGAATATACACTTTCTTGTCGACAGGTCAATGAATAAGACAAATTATTTTTCTCGTAATCATTTGCAAGTAGGGGTCCAAAAGCGAACCATACGTCACCACAGGAGACACGAAACGGGAGCATCATATTGATACGATTAGCATAAGCAAGTGCAATGGCATTCATCAAATACTGATCTTTTGCAATGAAAAAGTTTCTTGAAATGTAGTGATTGATTGTCTCATAAAAAATTGATGTCCACCAGTGAATAGCGCGTGCCGAACCACCGAAGAAGGTACCTTCAACAAGATCCATTCTGATTGGTCCTTCATGTGTTTTGTACTTTAATGGACAGAAGCCTCGAGGAAGTGGAGCTATCATGCCAAGAAGAAGTCTATCGTTGGCAAATATTTTTCGAATAATTTCATTATGGGGCCATAATCGAAACTGATAAGTAGATGATCGAAAGGCTCCTGCATCAACATAGAGAAAATAGTTAGTGTTAAATGGATTCAGCTCAGCACTCCGATTTATCATAAAAGATTTAGCACACCAAGTAGCATAGAGTTCGACTGAATGATATCCACGTTCTGGATCAATTTTATGTTGTTGCTCGAAAATGGATAAAAGAGGTTGAATAGGAGGCATTTGTAACGGTATTGAATAGTTAACAATAAAATATGATGCCAACGATCCATTTCGACGAAGCCGGTAGAGAACTGGTTGATATTCGATAGATGTAAATATGATCATTGGTGACTGGCAATATCCAAGTAGATTCTCAAGCCACATTAGATACTCTGCCTTGGTATGTTTTGACTTGTTGAGAGGAAAATAGCCTATTACAACAGTCGTCAGAGCATTATGGCTGTATTTCGCCAATGAATGTTTCGCAGGCACAGTTGCTGCAGATAAAAGGGTAATATGTTGAGTTTCTTTTGTCCATGAAAATATGATGATTGCCAAGATGATCAATAGACAAATAGGAGTATATTTGCATGAGCGATTCTCAATCATTATCTAAAACGAAGACTTTACAACTATTTTGTTGGAAAAATTTCGAAGAAACATAGTATGATATGCAAACGAATTATTTTGTGTTGTTCAAAAAAAAGAAAACCAATATGGAAAGTATGCACTTCGCGTGCAATTGACATCGAATGGGCTAAAATCAGATTTTGAGTCAGTTAATATTTCACCTTCTTTGTTGTTAAGAAAAGCTCCCCACCATCCAAAAGTTCCTACAGTAATAATTACATGGTCGCATAAATTAAGAACAGCCAAGTCGTTGGCAGCACCAAATGAATTCTGTGTAAAAATAAGATTATTTCGCTTATGAAACAGTGTTTGACAGTATGATCTGCCATCGGTTACAATAATAAAACAGCAGTGTCAAACTTGAAAGTTGATTTCAAGTATGTCAAGTATTTCAACTATTTATTTGCTGGAACTGCTTTAGCCACACCCTCATTTGCGGCGTTTCTGTGTGAGTGTGGCTCGTGTTAGTTGTATTCGGTGAAACTTCTTCCGCCGCACCCTCACCTGCGGCGTTTGTGTGTACGTGTAGCTCGTATAAGTCATATTTGGTGAAACTCTTTTCGCCGCACTCTCAGCTGTGGTGCTTGTGTGCGAGTATAGCTTGTGAGTCATATTCGGTGAAGCTCCCTTCCCCGCAACCCGCTTGCGGCGGTTGTGTGTGACTTGAGCTTGTTCAAATAGTTGAACTTGAATACTTGAATTGCTGAATAGTGGAATAATCGTGGAATTGTTGAAGTTGAATACTGGAATAGTTGAATAATTGAAATACTTGAAATACTTGAAATAGTTGAAATACTTAAAACAGTTGAATTCAAGTTTCAAGTATTACATGTATGAAATAAAGATACCCATCAAGCATTTTTTTCACTAGCAAAACTGAAAGTCATGAATGAAAGCCATAATACCGAAATACTTAAGACCTATGTCGCTAATGCAGATTTTTCGAAGATTTAAAAATTAGAACACATAGTGCCTAAATGTTATCATAAAAAATTCATCCTTAAAAGGAAAGTCAAGAACAACTGTATTTTCAGTAACATTTGAAACATCTTCAAAAGCAAGACTTCAGGTGGTCGTCATTCGAATTAATATATAAATTTAAGAAAACGATTGCCCTTTCACGAAACAATAAAGATTTTTAAGTGAGAAAAGAATTTATATGAAAAAATTTTGTAAAATTCTTATTGTTAAAAAGAAAATGAATGGTACATGCTAGATCTCACGATACCTATCGTTAGTTTGCTTTATATGTATTAAAATGACTTTGTGGAAACAAATGTATCTATAAAAATAGTTCATGAATATCAGAGAAAAGTTTTTATGTGAAAGACTAATTCTAAAAAACAATTGTGAGATCGAAAGTTCATGTCATTAATTTCTTCGTTTTTGTCCTTTGTTCTCTTTCTTCACTTAAAAGAGAAATTCTAATTTTCCAAAATACCTTTCATTGCAAAGGTTTATCAATATTAAACTTTTACTTCTATATAGAGCAATACCGAGAATATTGACAACAATATAATCCATTCGACTGTAAAATGCTTTCATTAAACGTTACTTAATTAATATTCTCTTTGGTACATATCCTGACATTTTTTTAAATAATTTAAGTATGTTGACTTCCGCAGGAACTGCAAAATCTAAAGTGACTCTTTCCGTCAATAAAATTTTGCAAAGTTGACAAAGAAGTCTTCATGAAATCCTTATGACAAAAAGGGGCTTGGCATATAAAATACGAAACTAACTCAGTTCAATATGAACTTCTCAAATTATAACGTGATACATATGAGAAGTCGTACTGAGCTTCAATAGTTTCATATTCTTGTCTTCTCCTAGCTGATTCCTATTTCAAGGGTATTACTAATTTATGCTAACACCACAAACACCCAACTTTGTAAAAACGCATATGGGTCATCTTCACTAACACCCACAACTTGGAGAGTTATGTGTACAAACACCCACTTTGTCCGACTCCTAGAAAAAATAAACCGTCAACGAAGACCAAAAAATGACCCCCTTCAACACTAACACCCAAAATCTCACTTATAGTCCACACAAGCACCCCAAGTTGTATTCACTAGCACCCACAGAACTCAATAATCTATATTCTGACCCGAATAAGTGCTATCCCTGAATAACTTTTTCTGATAAACTTTTCTCTGGAAACACATCATACCAGTACAAAAGTCCTTATATTCACCCACTAACACCCACAGAACTCAATGATCTACATTCTGACCCGAATAAGTGCTATCCCCGAATAACTTTTTCTGATAAACTTTTCTCTGGAAACATTCTTTAAATCCCCTCCCCTCTAGAAAAAATGCTGCTTTTCAAGAAGTAAATAACAGAAATCATCAAAAATTTGATCAAAAAAGGGGTATCGATTTAAAAATCAAACTGTTTCTGCAAGAACAGAACACGGGCTATCTTCCTATGCATTTATCCCAATTTGTATTTTTCGAACGAAAACCGACTTTTGTCGATACGGCAAAGGTTGAAGAGATGTTTCCAGCGAAAAGTTTATCAGAAAAAGTTATTCGGGTCAGAATATAGATTATTGAGTTCTGTGGGTGTTAGTGAATACAACTTGGGGTGCTTGTGTGGACTATAAGTGAGATTTTGGGTGTTAGTGTTGAAGGGGGTCATTTTCTGGTCTTTGTTGGCGGTTTATTTTTTCTAGGAGTCGGACAAAGTGGGTGTTTGTACACATAACTCTCCAAGTTGTGGGTGTTTGTGAAGATGACCCATATGCGTTTTTACAAAGTTGGGTGTTTGTGGTGTTAGCATAAATTAGTAATACCCCTATTTCAAGGATACACCAATGATATTGGAGGTATATATCTTGTCTATGATCTATGATCTTTACGGGTTTATATTTTGACAAAACTCTGACTCAAATTACTAACAGAAAATATAGAAATAGGCACTGAGTGTGTAAATATTTGTGTGTCAGTTGTCTGTTTACCTACATATACACTCATGTAGCCTCCGCGTGTAAGAAAATGTGAGAATGATGCTGATGAGTTGTTGATAATGTTGACAATAATGGTCAAAGTAAAACAATAGACCGAAACGAATAAATATTGTCATCTTAACCATGCAAATACTAGTACACCAGAAATATGATTTCTTCTTATTAATGTCTAATTCTACTTTTCTAATATTTTTCACGAATCTATACATAGGCGAATAATAGAAAAAAATCAGTAATCAGAAATAACAACAAAAATTGTTGATAATTTAAGATTTTCATTAGTTCCTTGCAGATTGATGACGAATAATCA